GTGACTTGGACCAGTAAGCCGCCACCGTTCCTTTGTGCACAAGTGTTTTCGTCTGAACCGAAACCTGTTTTCTGCTTTCACAAGATTGAATAGATATTTTATTCATGGTTATGCATGTCCATCTTTTTTCAGTAGGTTAACCTGCACTCTGGAATTCATTATAAGGGCACATGTATAAGGGCACATGTATTTCCATTCGTAAAAACACTTAGACGGATCACTAAATGATGTTCATTGAATTTGACTTACATTCTGACATTAAAGAAATGACATGATACAAGATGCATTTAACCTCAAGTGTTAAAAAATGAATGAATGAATGAGAGGAGTTAATTTCTTTTTAATGCCGGTGCAAATCAAAGTTTCTTTATCACTGAAGATGTTCTCTCTCATTAGTTATGCTGAGCACACCTCATCTTTCACCTTTCTCCTTTCCACAATCATCAGTTCTCTCCCAAATTGAGTTAATTTCTTCCTGGTCTGGCATTGCACTGACATTTACCAAGTGCGTCTTAAAAGGCTTTAATCGGTCTTCGTCGTGTTTGTTTTTGGGTTGCTGTGGAAACACGACACCTAAATGAATGTCTAAGTGATCCATCATCTTTTCACTTTTTCTTCACACTCAAAGTCTCACTTTCGCCCTCTCTGTTCTTCAGAATTACTCTTGCATGGCCATAACACTTTGCTTAGTGTGAGCCAATGAACTCTGTATGTTCTTATGGGCTGGCATTGACCATGTTTGCTGTCGTTTTTGGATTGGGAATGACTAGAAGGAAAATACATGTCCCTGTTTCATCCATATAACTCATGTAATTCTCATATTGGCTGGGTCATTTGTGCTATGCAGTATTTTCTGTAAATATAAAAAATGTAAACTTATTGTGTTGTAATTTAAGTATTTCTACAAAAGATTTAGCAGACTTCTAAAAATGTCCTCGTTTCAAGCCAGTGGCCTCCAGGAAGTGAAATCTACAGTGAAAACAACAGAACAAACATAAGCATTTGATCAATTTTGTGATGTTTTGTGCTGTTGTCTCTCAACTTATATACTTGATTATTTCCACCTTATTGATTTTATTGCCATTTATGTATCCACCGCACAAGAGATTGACCGTTAAATTGAGTAAATTTTCACTTTTTGTTAATTTCATTTTGATTTTTTTTTTTTAATCTCTAAAAAATTTGATGCTATCATATTATCTATGATGTTATTATCTGTACTGTTACTAAGCAGGCTGAAATCTCTTGCTAATACTTACTGGTGCTTATGGGATTGTTTTCCCACCCATGATTATGTCAGTTCTTGAAGGAAGTTTTATCTAGCATGATTTTTGTCTTTAAAAATTCCCAGTTATTTTGTATTTTATTTGAATGTGTATATATAACATTTAATCCAGTATTACAATGCATATAATGGGCACATGGAAATGTTCTCATAGCAGGAATTACCTGGGGACCGTATGTGGGCAAAGACCCCTGGTGTGATCTACTTATCAGCTATTGTTTGGTAGACAAATATCTTCCATATGGTGACAAAATAAACACAGCCAGAAGCTAATGACACTGGCGTGGTGACCAGGTGTTTTTATGAAAGGAAGCAATTGGCTGGAAATGACTGTTGTTTTTCTCGTAAGGCACTGCGCCCTACGTGATGAGCAAAGTCTCACAATGTTCCTGTTGAGGTAGCATACTTGATTTCGTTGGAAGTTCCCTTTTTGGGCTGTGTATTTTTTTCCTTTGTGGTTTCTCTAGAAAAAGGACATCTACCTGAAGCATTCATGCAGAACGGTTGACCGAATTGAATTTTACCAAGCAGGAGAGAATTTAATCAAGCCCCCACACTGCGTCTGTAATGGAGGTGATACAAGCAGTGTAGTATAGTTATTACAGGCCCAGGTCGGATACATGATGGAGGCATAGTGACCCAAGGATGATCTACCACATCTCCTCCTTAGCATCCCACCCCATCTTGTTTGTCTTATGTGACCCAGTTTCTTCCACCAGGTTAAACACTAATACATCAGCTTTTTGTTACTCCTATAAACCATCTCTGAGAGGAATATGAAAGTTACCAGTGCCATCAAAGAGCAAATACAGCAAGCAGTAAGATGCTTTTTCACATGCATTTTGTCTCCTACGTTCCCCTGGAGAAACACGCCTAAATCTCAAGATGGCAAAAATAACATTGGCACATCTCAAACCTCCTTGTACATATGATCTGTAGGATTCAGATACAGTGATGTGTTCGCCAAGCATGCCACCTGCCTTTTGCAATTATGTAAGAATCTGCATTGGATTGGATCTGCATTCTGGTAGAAGAACATGCAGCGCCTTGCCATGAAGATGGCAAGACCTTTTCTGACCTTCACTGTTTATGAGGGGTTATCTGATATAAACATATTCATTCCAGTATGAAATGTAATTCTCCCAAGAAACATATCAAGAAAGGGTGTTACAACTTACACAAGTTCATGCGATCCCTTGGACAGAATGAATTTCACATCTGCTGGACAGCGGATGGAGTGAAACCAGCACTGACAAAACTAAACACGCTGTATAAGATTTCCCACTCTTTGCAACAATAGCCCACAACATGCAAGCCAATCTAATCAACATGGAACCGAGGTGTATTTTTAGTTGCATTTCACCTTCCCAGTGATGGCTAACTGTATATTTTCCCAATCAAAAATTGGTCTCTTCTGCTGTTTGAGCTTAAAAGCATTAGCCCAAATATGTTTTTCTCTCTCTTGCCGGTAAAGAAAGCGATCGTTGGCCACCTGTTCCAGCTAAGTGCTAATTCTGGGAACAAAAGCATAGTGCTTGCCTGTTTCTGCTGTTTGAGCTTAAAAGCATTAGCCCAAATATGTTTTTCTCTCTTGCCGGTAAAGAAAGCGATCGTTGGCCACCTGTTCCAGCTAAGTGCTAATTCTGGGAACAAAAGCATAGTGCTTGCCTGGATGTGAGTAATGTGAAAACACCTCATTCATGGCAGTTGGCAGCTAGCCATCCTGGGTCACCGACTTGCACTGAGCTGATCAAATCCATCTCCACGGTGACTGTGCATGTCCCTGCTAAACCATTATCCTTCCACAGTTCAGGGTAAATGAGGGCTAGTGCATTACATGCTGCGAGTGAACCTGCTGCAAGCAATTAGGTCTCTCCCAATCCTCTGTTTTCCTTTGTCTGTGATTCACATCTGTTCTTTGACAACTACACTCACTGTTGCATAAGTGACAACATATGATTTATGCTGCTGGACAACAGCCAATTTTGGCTCGGTTTGTGAATGTTTAGCTACGGCTGAGCAGTATAGATAAAACAATTATACCACTGTATTTTTCAGCAACAATAGATATTAAATGCCACAAGTCGATGGACACATTTTTGCAGTTTAAATCAGACTGCATTAAAACATTTTTGTCTAAAGCTCTCATACTAACACATGCTATCGTCAGGGTGTATAAAATCTCAAAATGTGCTTTAGTGTCTTGTGACCCTGCAGCAGTTAAGTTGAAATAGGCACCAATGCTTTGCAATTTTTTCTAAGTGCAGGGACAGTTTTTCCCATTTGGTCTTACTTCCTAAGATCGTAAGTAGCTACAAAAACAATGCAGCCACTAGTGTATCAGAAATCGGAACGGACCCTCACCAACACCTGTAATGAGGTCACAAGGGATTGCTGTTTCTTCTTGTACTTACTATAGTCAGTGACTCCCTTTGGTTTTACAATGTTGCAGTGCATAAAAACTAGGTGTTTCAATCTAATTGACTCTTTAAAAAATGAATTGTTTGTAATGAATGTTTAATCTTCAAACATCCATTTTGTCCATCACCCCAATCTTTTTGCAGTTGTTTAGAATATTACAGTGGAACCTCTTTCACAGTTGGGCAAATTTCTCTTGACCAATGTTGAAAAGGACAAAATTCAGAGCACAGAGGAGCTGTAGCAGTGTGTGCCCATCATTTGCATGATTAGAGCTTGAAACGCTGATTGCAGCAAAGTACTTAGCCACCACTGATGGCTTTATCCTACCACTCCTGCCTATTACACTCAATCTGTTCACCATTAGTCAAGCACATAGAGACAAGAAGGGTAGATTTACTGAATTATCACTTTCTCTCATCACATCTGTTGCATAAATATCCATTCACCTGCAGTTTTCCGTGTACCGTTTGGGAAAGCCACTGGGCCTGATCATCTTTGATCCACTGGGATTAGATTGAAGTTGGACGGGGTCTTGAATCGGTTGTAATGATTGGCGCTTTCATCCTGGGAGATTAAATTAAAGGCAGGATCAGAGATCGGGACCGTCTGCTTGAAGCTGCTTTGAATGCAGCATTGGAGAGCTTCCTGTTTTGCGTTTTAAACTCCAATGTCCTGTAGTCACAGCTAAGCTGAGACAGTTGAATTTAAAGAATTTGAATTTGACCTACTTTCCTTACATGTGCTCTGGTGTTGAGCGCAGTGACGTCAATCGGTGGCTTTTGCGGCAAGTGCTGTGCACAGTCTGTGATCCCCTCATGCGGAGAAGACTAGTCTCAGGTGTAAATCTGACTTGAAACTGAAGAAGAGAATGTAAATGTATTTAGATTCCTGTGTGTCAGTGGCCTGCTTCCCACATTAATTCTACTCAAATATTATGCAACTCATTCAAAACCACAGAACACACAAAACAAATGAACATTTCTGGTGAAACAAAATATTAACTGGCAGATAATGTATTAAAGAACTTAATGTGAAGTGGGATTTTATCGTGTAAAGTGGGTTTTCACTTTTCAGTAAAAAAAATAGAGGAGAACGTTACACTTAGAAAGATTATAAAAAAAAATGTCTTTACAATAATGACAAACTTATTAAACTTATAACCTTGCTTCTGATTAGGCCACAGTATGGCATGTGATTAAACCATTAATTTAAAACTTGTAGCACATTGTAGCTCATACAGTGTTTTTTCTTGGTTATAGAATTTTTGATTGTTTTTGATTTGTTTATCCCACAGAATCCGTCTCAGGTGGGAACGGCCCTACAGGTGTTTTACAACCTCGGCAATCTAAGAGAGACCATAAGAAGTGTGGTGGATGGATACAGGACATCTGTGCAGGAGAATGTTGTTAATGCCCTTGACATTAAAGTCCTCACTCAACCTGCCAACACTAGAGGTTTGTTGTTTAGTGCATTTAAGGCCGTTAAGAGTGCTTGCTGATTTTGCATTGTGTTTTAGTGTGTGCCTCTCGTGTCTGCTGTGTTTAGGTGCCCCTGGCAGAGCCGTCATGCCCACTCCAGGGAACACAGCTGCATTTCGAGCTGCCCTTTGGACAAATTTAGAGAAACTAATGGACCAGATCTGTGCTGCGTGTGGTCAGGTATGCATAAGTTATCAAACTCACACAGATGTTACTATTATGAAACACTGTTAATGTCATTAGGCAAAACACCAGTAGTTCACAGGTGGCTGTGTTATTACCATGTCCCACTCCACTTTGTCTGGTGTTCACTTGTAAAGCCACAAAATATTAAGCTTGATTAAGCTCCGAAATTAAATTTGTGGCACTCCTGCTAATGGTAGAGTGGGGATGCTTGAGTGGGGAGGGGAGGGGAGACTCTTCTCCACTCATACAAGCTGTTCAAGTCCATGCATTACTTGGCAACTTGCAAAGCTTGATGCATTAGCTGCTTTTGGAAATATATTGTTGGTAAAGAAAAATATACAAATCAGTTATTCTGATTTTGTATTAAATGCATGTGCATGATGCATTAATTAAGTGCATGATTTTAAAACTTGTTAATAGAACTACTTTGTGAGTGCAGTTATCAATTGTACCTATTTTAGGTACAAGTGTTAAGCCAAGTGTTAAATTTAGATCATGCTTGAATATATTGGATAAAGTTTCTTCTATGTTCCTGAACAGGTGCAGCACCTGCAGAAGGTTCTAACCAAAAAGAGGGACCCAGTGTCTCATGTGTGCTTTATTGATGAGATTATCAAGGTGAGATGGAAAATATGATTTCATATCTATATTTGTTTTCATTTTTTTTTTGTTTTTTGGTGTGTGTGTTTGTGTGTGTGTGTGTGTGTGTGTGTGTGTGTGTGTGTATAATGGAAGAGGTGTGCAGTTAAATTTTGTTTGTAAAGTCAGACTGGGAAGTTGTGTGTCGATATTGTACGTATCCCATGAGTGAAGAGTCTGTCCTTGATATGTAGTGATTTATTACAAAGGATTTTTATGTGTTGCCCTTGCCTTTGGCTGGCCTGCCTGCATAGCCCCTGCTGGTTCACTTGCTGCTGGCACATTAGCAGTAAATGACATCCTAATTGGTGTCTGCAGGTGGCTGGCCCCTCTGTGACAAGGTTATCTACCCCACATGCATACACACATGCACACACATATATCCATCACACATTTTCAGCCAGGCAGTGATGGGACAATTTTATCTACATTCTCCATTTGGCTCTGGGTGACTTTGTGAACTAGCAGGAGTGTGTTGGTGCATGCTGAGTGACAAGAACAGTGTTTGCAAAGGCATATGCAGTGCGTTTCCACTTTGGTATCCCAGACATCCGTGGCTCTCCATTCCTTCAGTGGCAAATTTGGTTAATTACAGCCGGTAATTAAGGTGCTATTTTCTGCCAAATGAAGGGCTACACTGTGAGATCAGAACAGTTTAGGAAGGGGTGGTAAAATTTCACAGATGGATTTCAAAGACAGCATATAATGCTGGGAATTAGAGCAGGCCTTTAGCGACGCATTTCCTTAAACCATAACCAGCAAAGCTAATGTGGGCATAGATTTCAGGTTATCTGATGCAGAATTGTAACATGGATAAATTTGGAATTGCATACTACTTGTGTTATATGTTCTGTGTGTATACTGTGCACAGCATGCAAATTTTACACATGCATATTTATATTTCAATGAGAATGTGTCCTTAATAATTTTATAATTTAGATATAATTTAAGATTTAAAAGATTTAAAAAAGCATTAATGCATGCACGGCAGTTTTTTTTTTTGTTTATGTCATGGCATTGATTCCTTCAGCCTTTATATTTACAGTGTAGCACAAGTATACAAAGTAGAGTACACCGCATGAAATACTGCATCGCTTGACCAGTGCAACAAAAACAATATCAACCACAATTTTAAACATCTCTGTCTTGACTTATTGTCTGGCTGAACTGACAGAATTTGTTTATAGTAATGCAATTTCATGATAACTGCAGGCCACTTGCTTTAAACGTAATGAAGTCATGCGACAACAACATAGCATACTACTGCATACTTATGTTTTCTATTGCATAAAGTATACCGCACAGTATGTTAGAATTCCATTCCGAACACAGCCATAGTTGTGTTTTGCATTTGTGAGAAAAATAAAAGGTCGGTCTCCAAACCTAGTCGTTTTCTCTCTGTCTGTTGGTATTCCTCCCGTTTTCACTCAGTAAACAGTTTCGGGGAGATGAGTTGAGCGGCTTCTAATCACCTCTTGGAAATCGAGATTTTCGGTCAGAAGATTGAGGTCTGCAGGAATTGGGGGGGGGGGGCGTTTCCATGGCAGCACCTTCTCTCGCTCTCCCATAGACCTTTTCTTTCCTTGTTACAAAACAGAAAGGAAAAGCAAACAGTTCAATTTGAAAGTGAGGGTTGGCCTTTCTCTTTCGAATATGTAAGAAAACATGACAGCGTGATGAACGGAGATAAAAGTTAAAATAGTGCTACATAATATGTGTGCTGATTTAAATTTAATGCTTCATGGACTGAAATGTTTTTATCTTAAGTTCACAAACTCACATTTTGTTTAAAGCTCAATGACTCTTGGTAGAAAGGAACACCTTGAAATTCAAACCACACAGAATAACTGACAGAGTGTCATCGGGTGCTCAGAGATCCGTCAGCTGTAGATTAAAAGAGCACCCGACATTTAAACGGCCCTGTGAAAGGTGTTGCAGGGCAGGCACCTCTTTTGGAGCCTCACAGCCTGTAAAAAGCTCTGCAGCACCTCTGAACCTTCAGTTTAACAAGGTGCATGCAGGAGACGGTACACATATGCAGTATAGGAAAACATATAGGAACTTTGTGCAGGAGTCAATGTACAGCACAACAAAGCTGCTGTCGGATTCCCTGGAGATTGGAAAAGGTGGGTGAATGTCATGTTTTTTGTTTTCTTTCTCTGCCTCCACTTCGAAAGCTGTTTTCAAACTCCCACAATCTCACACCTTTATTGGTGGCAAAAACACCCGCCACACAGGCACCCATCGGAAAGCAAAACCTGCAAACCGCTACATTTAACAGTTACACAAGTAAAACAGACCTTCCCGTTGGATTCCCAGCTGCTTTTATGTAGCAAACATGCCTTCTGGCTCTCTGGCATGAGTTCATCTTCACGGATGGCCCTCTTGTTCACTTCAGGTGTCATAAATGTGAAATACGACTCTACATCAGAAAGAAGAAATTGCCTGAAGTACTGGAGCATATATGAAACTATATTGTATTTTACTAGAGAAAAAAGAAAGAGAAGCCAAGATTGGTTGTATTTTATTGATGATGGTACTGAAACCATGCCACTATACAAATTAAGCATGGACACTAAAAGTTTGTGCAAAACCTGATGATCCATGTTATCTGACATAATTTCATAATGCACCAAAGGGTATCTTGTGAACTTTAATGGACCTTTGGTGACCTTTTGTTCAGTGGAGTTCACATACTCCGTCACAAATTTACATACATTTCTTCTACACTTTGTCATTTTTTTTAAATGTTCCAATTTTTTTTTAACTTGCTGTTTATTTCCAGATTTAAAGACTGCCAATGTGGTCTTAGACTTTTGGACCCTGCTGTGTATATATATATATTTAACTATGAAGTCTCCATACTTCATCTTGTCAATTATTTTTCTTTGGAGAATTCTCAAATTTGTAGCGCCAGAAATTGTGAGTCATAAGAGAGAGTAATTTATATTGCTGTAAAGTCACTGCAAACTACTTTAGGCTGATGTACGGTGAGTCAGCAGGGACATTCAGAGCAGGTGAACGGGGTGAGCCAGAACTGATTTGCATCACCTGTGCAAATCAGTTCTGGCTCACCCCGTTCCCCCTGTGTAAATTGATCTTTGTGCAATCATTGTGCATCTTGTTGTCTGTAAATTGACAGTCTATTCAAGTTACACACGCTTTGTCAGGCACACAAATACTATTCTGGTCAGTAAATAAGTTTAAATGGTCTATAAAAGTAAATGTGATCTCCCTTTGTATGTAAACTAGATTTCAAAATAAAAAAAAAAGTTTGTACTCGTTCCTCAATATCTCAGCATTGGGGTGACAGGGTGAAGATCAGACAAACTAACTGCCTCTTTAATTGGCTGATCCTGAGACACTCCAGCCTCTTTACACACGCACGTAGTGAGAAGTGGTTAGACTGGCACGTGGCACACCTCCACCAGCATTAGACCATATTTGTTTTGTCACGATTCCCAAATGATTATTTGCCATAGACTTCCCTGTTTACACACAAATGCAGAAACGGATCAGACAGTCATTATTCTGTCAATGATTGCTAATGCCAGTGTTGTTTGAGTGATAGCATAAGAAGTGTGGGGGTCATATTATTTTTTTTACCCAATTAAAAGTACCCGTTTATTGCCAAAGTTTCTTGCACAAAATATATTGTAATTTGGTTTCACATGACTATTTTTCACCCTCTCTCCAATCACCACTACTTTTAAGGCTACTATATGTAAATAATCTGTTATGGCCTAACCCCTTCACATGTGAAATGAGTAAGAACGCCCCTGCAAAAATGAACATTTGCTTAATTGCCATGATTCTAGTTTTTATTTAGGGTGAAATGTGACCTGGACATTAGTTTTGTGATATGTTGTGGGTTGATGCCATTAAAGGCAGTCATATCAGCTTTGTTTGCATAGTGTGTTAATGCATATACAGTATGTTATTATGCGTGTCAGGGGCCATTATGGTAAAGTTCATGTGTTTTCTCTCTCTTATCAGGATGGGCAACCTGACATCTTGCACGCCTTCTGGAGTTCAGTCACTCAGACGCTTTCAGAGGAGCTGCAGAAAGCCACAGCTGGTGAGTCTCAGTCTGGGGTTTTTGTTTAAGACCATGCCCCGCCATGCATCTCAAAAGCTCATTCTGTGTGTGAGTGTGTTACACAAGCTCCCCTCCTGCGCCTAGTCTCTCTCTTCTCCTCCGCTCTTGCTTTCTTTTCATCACATTGCAGTCGGATTCAAACTCTTTATTACCCACGTACACTCATCTGGAGTTGCTTTTGAGAAGACTGACTCTGTTAACCCTTTCCTCTACGAACTGAGGCTGTATTAGACATTGTTCGTTTTTCACTTCCACTTCACACTATAATCTCAACCCGAACGATGAGGGGGGGTGTTTACACTTCCGTAATCTCTGATGATTTTTAGAGCTGAGGCGCAGCCAATGAGAGAGGCCATCATCAATACAGACACAAAACGATGATTTCTACACTGATCTCATGGTGTTATCATCACTAAAGAGCAGGATAAATCAAGGCAGGTGTTTGGTCACAAGGGAATATGGAGGAAGCAGACCTTCAAATGTGAGATTCATGTGACTCCACAGGTGTATAACCAAAAACGGACTCCCTTCTTTACTTCTATTTAAATTAGCCTGTAACTTGGCAAGCTACAGTACCATTTCAGAATAGCTTTTTCCACAACTCAGTCTTGGGGTGGATTCTAGGCCCTAGGTCTTCAACCCTGCTCCTGGGAATCCACTGTCCTGCAAAGTATATTTCCAACTTGCTTCAACTCACCTGGCCTATGGTTTTTCCAAGTAATCCGGAAGAACTTGATTAGCTGGTTCAGGTGTGTTTGATTAGGGTTGGAGCTGAACTATGCAGGACAGTGGATCCCTAGGAGCTGGGATGAAGGCCTAGGTTTTAGACACTTTGTATTGTTGATCAACTGATGTTTTTTAGGCTGATGACAATAACATTTGTGCATTTGACAGACAAATTTATCCAAAGCAACTTGTTTGTCCATGCATTCCATGGTAATCAAACCCATGAACTTGCCATTGGGTTGTGGTTTTAAACCTCAGAAGGGATGTTTCATGACCTATGACCATTGTGCTCTTGATCTAGGCACTTAACTCTAGGTTTCTCGAGAGGAAATGTTCTCTGGTTGAACAAGTCTGGCAAATTAAAAAATGTAAAAAACATTACTAACTTTATTGATGCATCATTTTGGTTGGCTGTATTACAACAAAAAACCTTCAATGTCACAGAATTGCCTCATAAATAGATCACACTAGCTGATGATTGCGACTGGTGCCCATCTTAATTAGTGTGCTAAAGATCTCGGGCAGTGCGTCCTCCCTGCAGAGTCACTGTAATTTAGACCTTGGCCTTGATGGTTTGGCTCTATTGATCCCTGCCTGTGTTATCACGACCTAATGACGCTTTGTGCTTCACTCCCCCGATCAATAGAAGGCAAATAGGAGCCTTTGCATCACTTTCATTATCCAAATGCTTGTGCATTACCTGATTTGAAACCTCTCAATCAAACTTGCTTTTATATTCTCCAGACCCTAGGGGGCTCACCTTGTACATCTATTAAGGGAACTTGGCCAAAATACTCTCACAAAATGAGAATGTTCGAGGTGAAGATGCTCTCACAAACTTTGCAGCTCCTAGAAGCCATCAGAAAACATTTTAGTTCTCGGGTCGATTGTTATGGACTCCACAAGCCTTCAAAGAAGATCTGTTTATAAATGATTCATCGCTGCCTCTTTGTCCAAAAATACGTTTTGTGACTACTGACAGCTCCCTGCCTCTTCCCAGAATTCTTTCTTGAACTGCTTGCCTTTCAAAGAGCAGGTCAAAAGATGAAGCCAGTATTCCTCTCAACATTCAGTGTAGGCTTCCTGACTTGGCCTTGAACCCGTATGAATTAATTTGCTAACAGTCAGAGTGCTGGTCTAGGGTCAGTTCTGCTGTTTTTATTATTAATGTTATTTTTATTTTTCATTTCATTATTGTATCACAACATGAAAGGCAAAACCTTGCTCCTGACTAACACTTGTTCAAGAAAGATGCCATTTTTCAACCATTTCACACTGACATTTATTTGTTGGTTTTTGTATGCACCTCATCACCTTCCCTGAGGAAAGATTTTCTTGACAGTCATGGGTTGCGTTTGAACACTACTGCATGACAGTTTTATGAAGTGAGGAAATTTAAGCTTCACTACCAGCAATAATTCTTAAATGTAGCGTCAGCTGAACATGGCTACAGCTCATAGTCAGCACTCCATCGGTAGAGTAGAACTGCCAGCACTCATCTTTGTTCGAGTGATGGCGAAACAAAGATTGAAACCGTTTAAGATGCTTGCTCCTCTGAACTACTCAATTATGCATTCATCAAAGCAATCTGCATAGGCAACAATCTGCATAATATTCGTAATGAGCATTTAATCACCTGTAAAGTTGGGTTATTACCATATTAATGAAGAGCCATTTTTATGCAATTCCATCCGTTTGACACTCATTTTGCCAAGTGTATTCTCTTTATTCGACATTGTTTTTGTTAGATTGGTTGGAGATAAGGGATTTAGTTTTTCAGCTCACTGAGGCACAAAGAAAAGGGTTTGTAGTTTCAAGTCACTGCTTGCCATTGTCATAGGCAACACTTTTTAATTATATGGTATTCACAACAATGTATGCTTTTTAACCCTGATTTAAAAAAATAAATAATTTGAAATTGAAAAAATGAAATTAAGAATCTTTCTTTTTGAGATTCTTCATTGCATATCATTCAAAAGAATTAAGTTTTTGTTGTCGTATTCTTTGTAATCATAAAAGTTGATGCATTTGATGCAGTTTCAAACTACTGCTCCAGTAACGCAGTCTTTCTAAAATGTCAAGATCAGGACAAAGACACAACACATGTATTTATCTGTGTGGCCATCTTCTCTTTAAATGCATCCTGTTCTCAATTTATTTTTCTTTTGTTCTCAGCATCAACCTTCCTGAAGCAGGCCCTGGAGGGAGAGTATCCCAAACTCTTGAGGCTTTATAATGAGCTATGGAAGAGGCTGCAGCAGTACAGCGCAAGCATACAGGGGGTGCTTGTGAGCATGTCGTATTCTTTGTAATCATAAAAGTTGATGCATTTGATGCAGTTTCAAACTACTGCTCCAGTAACGCAGTCTTTCTAAAATGTCAAGATCAGGACAAAGACACAACACATGTATTTATCTATGTGGCCATCTTCTCTTTAAATGCATCCTGTTCTCAATTTATTTTTCTCTTGTTCTCAGCATCAACCTTCCTGAAGCAGGCCCTGGAGGGAGAGTATCCCAAACTCTTGAGGCTTTATAATGAGCTATGGAAGAGGCTGCAGCAGTACAGCGCAAGCATACAGGGGGTGCTTGTGAGCAGTGGTGCAGGTCTAGATGTGGAAATGCCAGTGTCAGAGCATGATACTGAAGATCTGTTCACTCGGACCAAACCAGACTACGAGTGAGTACTAAACACACATACACAGTTACATGTACACTAACTCTTCAACATTTGTTTTCATAATTCTTTTGTAATTATTTAACAATTTGATGGTTTAGTCCATACAGAAATGTTCCATGATAAATAATAGTTTCTGGCAAAATACAGTAGCTGCTATTGTAATTGCTATTGCTTTTTTTATTAAGACAGTGGTGGTTAGTACCAAACTGTCAGAGATTTATTGTGGTAACAACAGCAACTGTTATAAATATGGTATTTTTGTAGAAACTATGGTCATTTTTTTTCGAGGGGAGGACATACTAATGTTTTGTTTTTGGAACTAAATTGCAACTATCAATCGCTGAAATGCATCTGACTGACTTAACATTTTAAGATGCTAAATGCAAGCAGTCAAACAGAAATGCCACAATTTCTCATCATGAGAGCCAGAAGTTTATCATCTACACAAACTGTCATCTTCCTAATCATTCCTGGTGGAATAACAAAGATTTTGTTTACCTGCAAAGTGCTCTCAAAACTGCTCTCATCAATCAGACAGCGTTTCTGCCTTTCACCTGAATGGACAGATGTGTTGGGAAGCAAAGAAGCCCTTCTACTCTCAGACACATTATCAGACAATCTTCCAGAGTTCAGTCAACATTTCTGCCACTATTCTGATCAAACAACAAGATCCCATAATCACAATTGTCCCCTAAACGGCCCACGTTTTACGCACAGTTGCTCATATCGCATAATACAGCTCAAGAAAAAGCTTGTCAAGATGCATGACAACCAGCAATTAAAGCCAAAAGTATTAAAGCATCTTGTCAAAAAGTGGCAAATGTGTTTCATATGTCAGGGTGATGTAGGGGGTAAACTATTTTCTTTTGTATTTTATTTTGGAGAGATTCAGTAGATCTATATTTGGCTCTCATAAAGTATTTGCTTTGTGGTAGAGTTCAGTGTACTGCAGGCAGTACAGCATTGAACAGCATCCGCTGAGTTAAGTTTAGAGATCTATTATTATAGAGAAATCTATTGTGTTAATTCTCTGAGCTCTTTTTGTCTTTAATAGTAAGATTCATTTGGTTTTTAGTTGCTGACATTAATGATGCTGTTTCTCTTAGCACTAGTGTCAAGATTTCTACAAAGTCTTATATTTTTTTGCGACAAGTGTGCATAATTTATGATAATGAATGACTTTTTACCCTCTAAATCACATTACCATTAACGTCCAGTTTTTTTAGTTTTTTTTTGTAATTCATTACTGTATTACAGTAAAAAAAATACTGAGATGTTTTTATTTAAATCTGCATAAAGGCTATAGAACTAATACTATCATGTATGAATACAATTTTTTTTAAAAACATTATTTTTCAGATTATAGTGATGAGAACGAGGTTCTTTGAATTACTATAATAAGTACTGTCCAATAATATTCTAAAATAATCCTCATTTTCAGACCTTACAATATAATGAAAAGTTTGAAACTTTTAATGAAAATGGTAACCTTTGGGGAAACAATCATATCTCACTTACACTTTTATCAACTATTGGTATTCACAGGTCAAACAAAAGAATAATTATTGGAAATCTGCATAAAGGCTATAGAACTAATACTATCATGATGTATGAATACAATTTTTTTTTTAAAACATTTTTTTTCAGATTATAGTGATGAGAACGAGGTTCTTTGAATTACTATAATAAGTACTGTCCAATAATATTCTAAAATAATCCTCATTTTCAGACCTTACAATATAATGAAAAGTTTGAAACTTTTAATGAAAATGGTAACCTTTGGGGAAACAATCATATCTCACTTACACTTTTATCAACTATTGGTATTCACAGGTCAAACAAAAGAATAATTATTGGGAATTAAGCAGCTGTCAGCCAGGAAAACTAATTTATTATAGTGGCAAAATCAAATGCTTGGGGCTTTGATCCCTACTGAGATGAGGAGTGTAAGTAGGCTACAGTTTCATTAAGTGTTGTTCAGTTTGCTCTGCTGCACTTTTGATTTAGTCTCGATTTGTAATTATCTCTACGGGCATGCCTCTGATTAAATTCAAGATTTAGGTCAGTGAAATTTTGTATGTGACATACATGTCATGTGTTTATCAAAAAAATAAAAACGTACTCCGATTACATAAACTGATGCCAGAAAACACTTTGTCTTGACACGTGTTGTCATTTACTTGTTTTACAGTTAAGCAAAGGGATAACTTTTTTTTTAATATATCATAACTCTGTTCCATCATCATTTCCCTACTGTGCCACTATGCTGTCTTCTAAGAAATTTCATTTTGGCCCAATGTTAAGGAAGCATTGCATGTGTCCTTCATGGAGAAGGCGATCCCATAATGCACTGCCCGCATTAGAAGTCAAGAGAAATGTCAATAATAAATATAGTTACATTTTGTAAAATACTGAAATTGACTAAAGGGCTAATAATGGACTGGAAAATATATAGTGATTAGACTAACCATAAGCAGACTGCTGACTGTTTTTACTGACTGTAATTTGTTAACAGTTGATCCTATATGTTGTTTTTGCACGTTAGTGAGCTGAATGTTGCATCGGTGGATTCCGGCCTGACGATCGCAGTAGCCAAGAACGCCGCCAAGACTGTGCAGCTTTTCTGCGTCAAGTCAGAGCAGTTGGTAAGACACACACTGAGATAATGAGCTAGGCTGAGCGGGAGGCTGTCTGCTCTCATGCCCCTCAACCCAGCCAGGGAGGTGACACACACGGTCGGCTACTGAGCTCATTATGAGAGCCGATGTAGGGTGGGGCTCATCTCAACAAGCGTCAGAGAATCAGAGCACCTGCTGAGAGCCGTGACCTGGACAAGCGGCAGGGCGGATTCCAACCTCCCTAGTTAGAAGTGCTAGTTGATTTGGTACATAAACAGAAGCCACACAAATCAGGCAAAGGTGGGGGTCGAGAATGCAATGCTTGGTCGGTAGTTGGTCAACCAAAAAATAAATACCAGTAGTTGGAGGACAAATCGGTTTGCAACACAATATTCATGCTATTAGTTTACTAAATGTACTTCTCTGCTGTTATATTGGGGTTCATAGATGTGTGCTGCTTGTGTGCCAAGCAATTAAAGTGGTCAGAGTGGCTTAAGTCTCAATCTCACTGTCAGTAGTGATCCACATTGAGTTACATGAAGATAACAGCCATCACAAACTTTACGAAGAGATCCTTAATAAATAAATCGGTAGATCTGTAGAATTTGAGTTATTTGAGATTTGAGTTAACTACAAAGCCAAACTAGCTTTACAAGTGAGTGAATCCTTTCATTCCTTAAAGGGATACTCCACCCCAAAATGAA